CTATGAAAGGTCACAGGGGTGTTTCCCTTAAGGAAGTGGCATTTGAACTAAACTAAGATCTGAATGATGAACTGGAGGAAACTAGGGGAAGAATAGCTGGCAGGGCTCCTTGTGGAGTTCTAACTGGGGGAGACCAGAGTAGATGCCTGGACACCAGAGGATGACTGCAGCTGTCCAGAAAAGAGATAATGGATGAGGGTGGAGGTAGGGAGGATGGAGAAAAGTTGAAGGAATGCAGAGAGATTTAGGAGGCAAATTTCTAAAAATTTAACAGGTGGGTATGAGAAAGAAAGGGGTCAAGGGTGCTGCCATTGTTTCTGCCTCCTGCAACAGGATAATTTGCTGAGATGGAAAATGAGGTTGGACAAGATGCCACTGCTTTTCTTAGCACTCCCCCCTCCCCTAAACCATTCTGTAGTCTTCTTTTTTTTGAGACAGTCTCGCTCTGTTGCTCATGCCGGAGTGGCATGATCTTGGCTCACTGCAACCTCCTCTGCTTCCCAGGTTCAAGCAATTCTCCTGCCTCAGCCTCCTGAGTAGCAAGGATTACAGGTGCCCGCCACCAGGCCTGGATAATTTTTCTATTTTTAGTAGAGACGGGGTTTCCCCATGTTGGCCAGGCTGGTCTCAAACTCCTGACCTCAAGTGATCCACCTGCCTCAGCCTCTCCAAGTGCTAGGATTACAGACGTGAGCCACTGCACCCAGCTAACCATCCTATAGTCTTCCAGTAGAGTCTCTCAAACCAGTGTGCCTGTGCCTATATAAGACATGAACTCCTTAGCATGTCAAGTGAGGCAGTACTCCAGCCATGCCGCCTTCTTATATCCTTTTTGGAACAGAGGGCTAGTTACTCAGATGGGCGGTTTCAGAACCAGGTTTGAGAAGAGGGCCATAAGTTTGGTTTGGGAAATGTTGAGTTTAAGATGTCTTTGAGACATCCAGGAGGATAGGTTGAGTAGGCCCTTGTACCCATGCATATGGAATTTAGATAAGAGGACTGGGCTGGAAAAAGACATCGATCAGTTCTCAGAGTATAGGAGGTAAGTGAAGCCATGGGTGTGAATGATGGGAGAGAATGCCCAGAGAGAGAATGCTGAATAAAAGGAGAGGTTATAGGACCCAGTCTTAAGGAACATCAACTCATTTCTCACATTAAAAAAAAAAAAATTCCGCCTCCCTTCATACATTAAATACCACCCATGGTATTTAGTGGGTGACTTTCAGCCAAAATCCTAAAGCATTTTGTGCCACCCAAGGCTGAGTGACAAGGCTGCTGCAGTCTTCCTATTGTCCCAACCTGCTCTCACCCCTGCAGGAGGCCAGTGTAAGTATCTGTTCCTAAGTACTTTTCCTAACACTAGTGAGAAACTTATGGGAACTCCAGTGAAGTAAGAGTGTCCACCAGCCATTCTCTGTCTCCAAGAAGCTTGTGGAGTGAATACCTTCTGTGCAATAGCCTCTAGGTCCAAGTTGAGATCATCCACTGAGCTGGGCCAGGGCCCAATCCTCTATTTACTTTTGGGGTGTTTTGGGTTCCTTATGACCTTGCTGCACACAGAAGACATAATCTCTGTCCTCTTAGGCCTTCTCTCCTTCCTTCCTTTAGAGTAGCAATGTCTACCTCCTGTCTGACTGTGGCTGAGCCATCTCTTGGGCTGCGGCCCTTGATCCTTACAGCTTTGCTGTGCAGGGCTTCTCAGCTCCCAGGATCACCCTCCTTCCTTCCATGGCAAATGATGAGAAGCTAGACTGGTGTGGTTGCTGTCAACATGTCAATAAATCTCTTAGTACCCCAGGCACACAATGCGAAGATTGTGGGGAGCCTGCCTGGGGAGAGGAATTTACAGCTCTCTAGAGAAGTAGAATTGTTTGTGAGTCTACTTGGAGTCTTCAGCTTGGCTGCTATGAGCCCCAGCCCTGCCTGGAAAAGTCTAATGTCAGCTGAGACCCCAGGACTACTTCCTAGTTGGGACAATAACCTTTTCTCCTGCCAAACCACAGGGGCTTGGCTGGCCTTCAGAACCACCATCTCCAGCTGACTGTTTTTTGTTTCTTTGGTTTTTTTTTTAAAAAAACTTATTATGGGGGTTTCAAACATACAACAAATATAGAAAGATGTTCCCATCATATAGCTTCAAAAACAATCAACATAGTACCAAGATTGTATCATCTATTCACCACATATTTTTGGTGGAAAGATAGTTATGATAACTGTTGAAAGAAAAAGATTATAAAATAACATACTTGCTATGGTCACTTTTTAAAAAATGATAATCTTCAGATTCACCATTTGATTATAGTGTCGCATTAAAGTTAAACCACGATTTATGTCAGCCCAGAGCCTAGCTGTCTCGTTTCTGAGGCCACACAGTGCCTTTGGAGATGGAAGGATGATCTGGAGCCAACTCTAAGTCAAGGAGCAGTCTCCAAGCCACAGCATGGCTTCTGATATTTGCACGGACTTGTTATAGGATGGACATCCTGACACACACTGGAAAGGAGGGACTACAGCTCAGAAAAAGATTCCTTATAAGGCTCACACTGTAGCAACCCCAGGAGTGCACAGAACTTGACACTGAACAGCATGGCAGAATGGAGAAAATACAGAACTGCACTATGATGTCATCTTGTTTGCTCATTCATTCACACATTACTGAGCATCTACTAGCTCTTCCAGGAGCAGACATAGCCACAGATAATGGAAAGAGAATGTGATGAGGGATGCAGCAGAAGTACATGAAGCCACCAGAGGAGAAGAAGGTAGAGGTGGCTGAGTCCTGAATGATAAAGACAGGCAATTTCAAAAGGAAAACACAGAAGTACAAAACAGTCATAATGATGGCAGCTACCTTTAAAAAATTATTATTTTGAGGTTTGATAGTGTAGACTATAGTCCTAGCTCCATCACCCATTGTGATCTTTATTATCTCAGTTTCTGTACTTTTATTTCTTAATAACATTCAACCCTATCACCTGGGCACTATTATCTAAACAGAGATGTTATCTAAACAGAGATAACAGTGCCAAGGTAATAGGGTTGAGTGTTATTATTAAGCACTTGGTACATTCCATATCCTGCATGTACATAATTTCTCATCTTAACAACAATCCTGAAAGTAGGTTTCTTCATTTTACAAATGAAGAAAAGTGACACTTGGGTTGATCATGCTCATATGGATTAAAGGCTGGCATCGGCATTTGGACTCCTGTCATTCTGACATCTAAGCCCATGGCCTTCCTAATATGTCATGTCTAATGGGGCAGGAACACTGAATGTAGGTAGAATGAGGACATAAGGAGATAAAGACATCTTTTTGACATTTCCTTTCTGGCTGGTTGGGGCATATCTTAGCAGACCTGCCTGACACCAAATTTGGCTCTTTCTAGAAGTGTGGCCATGAGTTTTACCAAGAGACTGTTCATGAAATCCTTCATGAATGTTTCCCATAGGGCAGGTGGAAAAACTAAAGCATGAATTTAACTCTGGAACTCCTAAAACTCAATAAAAAGACAAGCCAGTAAACAAAGGGGTGGGGTGCAAAAGACTTTAACAGACCTTACACACACACACACACACACACACACACACACACACACACACACAACTTATAAATGGCCAATAAGCACAAGAACAGATGCATAACATTGTTAGTTATCAGGGAAATGCAAATTAAAACCACAATGAGCAACCACTACATACATACCCAAGTGGCTAAAAGTAGAAAGTACAAAAAATTAGAAACATCAAATGCTAACCAGGATGTGGAGCAATGGGAACTCATAGTTGATGGAAACATGATACATTTTGGAGAAAGGTCTGACAGTTTCTTATAAAATTAAACATACACCTGTTCTTTGACCCAGAAATTCCACTCTTCAATACCTAGCCAAAGGATATGAGAAATATACATCTACGAAGGAACTTGCACAGACAGCAGTCTTGTTTATAATAACCAAAAACTTTAAAGGTGCCCATCAACAGTTGAATGGATAAATTCATACTACTATGCAGTAATAAAAAAGAATTGTGGATACATGCAACAACATTGGTGATTCTCAAAAACATTATTCCCATGAGAAAAAAAAAAAAAAAGCCTTACACAGTATATATACTATATGATTTCATTTATATTTAATTCTGGAACAGACCAATCTATTGTGGGGAAAAAATCAGAATAGTAGTTGCCTTTGGAAGGCGGTAGAGGAGTAGGGATTGACTAGGAAAGAGTGCTGGCCAATTTTCTGGGGTTTTAGAAATGTTCTGTATCATGACAGGAGTCCAGGTTACACAGGTGTGTGCATTTGTCAAAACTCAGTGAATGTGTACTTTGGATTTGTTCGTTTCACTGTATGTGAATTTTACATCAAAAGAAAAATGCAATCAAATACTGAACTCTAATTTTATGCATGCTGAACTACGTAAAATGTACCACTGTCTGCAATTTAAAGTGCACCAAAACACAAGATGGACTGATGGATGTATAGACAAATATATGGTAAAGTACAAATATAGTTAAACATAAATGGTAGAATCTAGGTTTCTAGGTGATAGGAAACAGGTTCATTATAACAGGGGCTCATTCTTTCAATTTTGCTGTATGTTTGAACATTTTCATAATAAAAGAACCAGTTATTTGGGGGTTTTGCAGCAAATGGAGACACTAGAAGCTAAGAGGGGCAGGAGGTTCCTCTTACCTTGGGAAATGGAAATTAAAACCACAATGGTTTTCCCAAAAGTAATTGACCTTTTTCAGTCAATGTTTCCTCAACTATTAAATGGGTAAAATGGCAGTGGCGGAGCTTCATATTATTAAGCATGTCCTGGTGGGTGGAAACGCCTTTAACTGGGTGCGGCTTCAAGCTGGTTACTCGCCCTACCTACTCCCTCTCATGTCCTCCCGGTGCCCCTTTAGACCCACCAGCTCGAAGACAATCTTCGCGACCTGCGCTGGCGGTCGCTCTGATAACCGCATCCCGGTTTCCGGGACGGTACCGGAAGTTACTTCCCATACGCCTTTCCTATTGGATGCCGGCCTTTCATGGGGCCTAGCGCCGCTGGGTAGGCGGAAGTAGCCGCAGGCATGGCGGCGGCTACGCCGCTTGCTCTGTTTGTCCTGCTGCTTCTCGGGCCCGGCGGCTGGTGCCTTGCAGATCCCCAGCGCGACAGCCTGCGAGAGGAGCTTGTCATCACCCCGCTGCCTTCCGGGGATGTAGCCGCCACATTCCAGTTCCGCACGCGCTGGGATTCGGAGCTTCAGCGGGAAGGAGGTGAGGGCGCTAGATCTGACCTGAGAAAGATTTCAGTAGTACCTGCTGGCTGGCTGTAGGGTGGAGGCAAACCATGGGGGCGGGGTCTAATTCCTGGGTGGAGTTCTGGATCCTGGGTGTGGACCCCGACGAGGTGGGGATCGTCACTCACCTGCTCCCTTTTCCCCAGTATCTCATTACAGGCTGTTTCCCAAAGCCCTGGGGCAGCTGATCTCCAAGTATTCTCTACGGGAGCTGCACCTGTCATTCACACAAGGCTTTTGGAGGACCCGGTACTGGGGTCCACCCTTCCTGCAGGCCCCATCAGGTGCAGAGCTCTGGGTCTGGTTCCAAGACACTGTCACTGAGTGAGTGCACACCTTGGGCCCCATTACAGGCCATGGAGGGAATGTTGCTGGGAAGGTGTTGTTATCCTGCGACTGCTCTTGGGGACAGCATTTCCAGTAGGCAGCTATTCCATGGGAGTAGAGCTGGCATTGGAAGTAAGAACTATTACCACAGATGAGTAGGCTTCCCAATCCTAAAACTTTCAGACCTGAAGTAGCACATGCATATCCCTGCAGAGGCAAATAGCAAACAATTCATACTTATTTAGAGGTAAGGCGGTAGAAAACTGGCAACTGGATCTTTTCAAAGACATTGATTAATATTTTTTTCAATGATAGTAAATACCACAAACGCCAACCATAGCATATCTGTGGGTCACAACTGGCCAACAGGATGCTACAGTGTTAGAGGAACTGCTTTTGTTTGGGAGAGGGGCAGGTCTAGTTACTGTGCGTGAACCACAAACCACTATTTCCCAGTAGCTACTGTGGCTGTCCTATTTAGAACAGAACCTTTCTGTGCAATGGTTGCAAACATGTCTACATGAGCCACACAGGTAATAAATGAATAAAGGTATTTTAAAAATTGACAAACACAGGAATGAGAAATATATCTTATTTTCTCTTAATCCCAGTATAAGAAATTAATAGTGCAAGTATGATAACAAATTTTAGGCCAGTAAAAGGAAGCAGCAAGAATTGTGGCAGGCTAGAGCGTTTGTGTGACATTCTAATGAGGACAGTTCTGTCACTCAGCTTCTATGGATTGTTGCTATGTGGGAATAGAGGCCTAATGTTGTCAGACGCAAATGTTTCTAAAATTTTTTGTAGAAACAGGTTCTCACTATATTGCCCAAGTTAGTCGCAAACTCCTAGGTTCGAGCTATCCTCCTGCCTCAGCCCAAAGTGTTGGGATTACAGGCGTGAGCCACCACACGTGGCCTCATTTTTCAAGAGATACCAGCAATCTGCAATTTAATATGAAAATTGGCAAAGTCAAGTATCAGCAAGTAATTAAAAAAAAATTTTAAGTGCTGTGCGGATCAATGTTGTGCATACCAAATGAAGCATGTTTATGGTTTGGGTAGAGCTTTCAGGCTTCAAGTTTGCCATTTTTATTTGAGGCTTAAGGATTGGAGAAATTTAAAAGCTCTGAACAAAGAATTGTCAAAAGCCCCTGGACAGCACTAAGGAATGAGGAATAAGCAGTGACGTCCCAGCTTGCTAAGACTTTCTCTCTTGCCTCAACTCTGGCTCCCCTACCCTTTCCTATCTACTCTGCTGTCACTGTCTCCCCTCAGCCTGTAATTACCTGTAATATGGAGCTAATGCTTAAAATTCTTTCTAGTGCTTACTAGGTTTTATGCTTTCTATTATTGAGAGCAAATTTCTTTGATATTTCTCCAAGAAAAGACCATCTAATTTAATTTGATGTTTTTATAAAATCCTAGAACGGTTGTTTTTCCCATGTTCAGTGAGCTTTTTTGGATATAAGACTTCTCACTATGCTAGAACCAGGACTTACCTTTATTCCCAGGGTATACACAGGGCAGTAGGCATTGTTTTGCCCAGCCAAGCACCTTCAAGGAAGATCAGTGAGCTCATTTCAGCTCTGATGTATGAGGTGCTTTCCATGGTGTCATGGGAAGCACATAGATGGCCCAGACTGGTCCTTGTCCTCAAGTTGCTTACAGCCTAGTTAGAGAAAAAAGGTGCTCAGGACGTGATGCAGTTGCCACCCAGCCATCTCCCAGAAGCGACCTGGTAAGAGGCTTGGATGATCAGAACCATGACTGCACAGAGGAGGTTGTGCTTAAGGAGGGCAGGAAAGGCTTCTGGAGGAGGGGGTAAGAACTGGAGCCAGATCTTGAAGGTAGGCAGAAAGTAATGAGCAAAGGCCTGCAAGGAAGGAAGAATCACCTGAGCAGACACCCATGGGGATGCAAAGATGTCCAGAGGAGAGCGAGGAAGAAGGGGCTGAGTAAGATGAGACCCAGCAAGTGGGCTGGGTGGGGGCAGCAATGTTCCAGCTCCCTTAACTAACCTGTCTAATAGTTAAGAATACAGCCTTCTCCTACCATGGGTTTAGCAGCCGCTTTGGGCTTTGAAAGAGGGAGCAGAGGCAGCCCCAGGACGGTGAGTGGATTTGTGTCTCTATCCAGTGTGGATAAATCTTGGAAGGAGCTCAGTAATGTCCTCTCAGGGATCTTCTGCGCCTCTCTCAACTTCATCGACTCCACCAACACGGTCACTCCCACTGCCTCCTTCAAACCCCTGGGGCTGGCCAATGGTGAGATAACCCCTGCAGCCCTTTCCTTCTTCCTCTTACCTCCTGCCCACATCTTTGCCTCATTTTCCCTCAGTTTCCTGCTTCCTCAGCCTGGGCTAGATCCTAAGTCCCCTATGTGTGCAGGCCCCCAATACTATGCCATCTCTGCATGCCTTCTCCCAAGAGAGAAGGGAGTCCCACTCCCTGGGACTCTCCAGGCTGTGGTGCTAGAGAGTGGTGTGGGGAGCAGGAGGGTCATCCCCATCTCTGGAGTGCGGGTCCTGAGGGGTGAGAGCCCAAGGACTACCCCAGACAGATCTCTGTCTCCCTCAGACACTGACCACTACTTTCTGCGCTATGCTGTGCTGCCTCGGGAGGTGGTCTGCACTGAGAACCTCACCCCGTGGAAGAAGCTCTTGCCCTGTAGTTCCAAGGTGAGGCCATGCAGCCTGGCAGCCAGGGACGTTTACAGAGAACCTGCACCCCAGACTAAGTGCTCCATCCAGGGCATCTCTTCTGTTACCTCTTTCCGTCTCCTCCAGGCAGGCCTCTCTGTGCTGCTGAAGGCAGATCGCTTGTTCCACACCAGCTACCACTCCCAGGCAGTGCATATCCGCCCTGTTTGCAGAGTAAGTCATGGGGAGTAGAGGAAACTGCCATCCTGGGGCTTAGAAGAAAAGCACGTGGCCAAGGGTCTGTCTCAGGCTGAGCGAGTGCTAAGTGGTAGATGAGATGATGGTTCTTCAGGGTATTGGCCAAGCACCAAGAAAACAGTGGTTGCCTAGCAAGCACTGAATAAATATTTGTCATGGAAAACAGTGGTTCAGAACAATAGCTGTGTGGGAGCAATTGCTAGCTTCGTCACTTGCCAGCTGGCATAACCTTGGGTGAATCATTTCATTACCCTGAACCTGGTTTCCCACTCTGTCACATGACGTTGATCGTAGACTCCACTCCTAGAGTTGCGATAGTTTATCAAACTGATGCACATAAAGCTGTCAGCACGGGGTCTGGCATGGGGTCAAGTGCTCAGGAGTTTGTGGTAGCAAATCGATGGGTGTGAAGACACATAGATGAGGGATTGAGTCTGAGTAGGAGTCTTTTTTTTTGGGACTGTGTGGTTGGGTGAGAGTGATCCTGACTGCTACCATCTGGCCCTTTTGATAGAATGCACGCTGTACTAGCATCTCCTGGGAGCTGAGACAGACCCTGTCAGTTGTATTTGATGCCTTCATCACAGGACAGGGGAAGAAAGGTAAGCTATCCTGGCAACTCATCTCTACCCACCTATGCCAGCCCTGCCTTATCTTTGTGGACTAGGCCTAGGCCTGGCACCTGCTTAATGCTGCTCTCTGTTTCTCAGACTGGTCCCTCTTCCGGATGTTCTCCCGAACCCTCACGGAGCCTTGCCCCCTGGCTTCAGAGAGCAGAGTCTATGTGGACATCACCAACTACAACCAGGTAACAAGGTCTCAGCCACACAAGCAAACTCCTAGTCCCCAAGACCAGCCTGCCCTCTCTGCTTGCTTCTTAGGCCTGCCCTTGTGTCCCTAGGACAATGAGACATTGGAGGTGAACCCACCCCCAACCACTACATACCAGGACGTCATCCTGGGCACTCGGAAGACCTATGCCATCTATGATTTGCTTGACACCGCCATTATCAACAATTCTCGAAACCTCAACATCCAGCTCAAGTGGAAGAGACCCCCAGAGAACGGTGAGTAGGTGGATGGTTGGACTGCCGGGTTGCAGCGGCTACAGAGAAAAGACCACAATCCCACGTCTTTGCTGTAAGATGACAAGGTTGTATTTAGACCAGATCTCCAGAGTCATATGCTGCTGACTCTAGCTCTTCCAAGATCTGTGATTTTGGGTAGGTTCCTAAATTCTCCGAGCTTCAGCATCCACATCTGAAAAATAAAGAATATCCTAGTGAATTGGATGAGATGATGTGAAAAATGGAGTTAGTTCATGCATGCCCTTAATCAACCAAATATTTTTGAATTTATACTATGTGCCAGGCATAGAGTGTTGAATAAGATAGAGGACACTGCACTCAAGAAATATAATGTCTACTAATTGAGGGGCAGCTGTCAGTTAATTAATTACAGTTGTGTTCAGTTCCCTTACCAAGGGAAAGAGCGGAATATCCTGAGAGGACCTGGTTTGGGTTCGAAGGGGGCACAGTGTTCATCACATAAGTGCTTAGTAAATACTAGCAACCTATTGTCATCATTGCCTGTGGGCTGGGGAAGACAGGGATGATTCCAGAACCCAGATTGCCCAGTTTCAGTGGCAGGACTGTTCCCTATCTACTCCCTGGCCCTGGACTCTGAACATGGCCTGGGCAGTTGGGGTGGAGAGTGACCCTTACCTTTGGCAGCTCTTAACTGTTGACATTTCTCTACACAGAGATCCCCCCAGTGCCCTTCCTGCATGCCCAGCGGTACGTGAGCGGCTATGGGCTGCAGAAGGGGGAGCTGAGCACACTGCTGTACAACACCCACCCATACCGGGCCTTCCCGGTGCTGCTGCTGGACACCGTACCCTGGTATCTGCGGCTGTATGTGCACACCCTCACCATCACCTCCAAGGGCAAGGACAACAAACCAAGTGAGGAGCTGAGTCCTGAGCCAGGTCCCCAGCCCACCCTCTCATGCCCTCTCCAGGTCCCCCAGACTCTCATTTCCCAGAGTAGTTCCTGAAGTACTTCTGAAAAGCTACAGAGGCAGAAAGAGTAAGGAATAGTTTCAGAAATGCAACGGGAGCCTCACTGTGCCAGGTTCAGAGGTAATTTTATAAAACAGATAATTAAAACACATAATACTGGTGATTCTTAATAGGACTGTACAAGGACAGTAGCTCCCTTTTTCACTTACTTTTGCCTGCTTTCCAGCTCATTGGGTTTTGCGTAGGGAAAGGGCTAGGCAATCTTGGGTTTTTGAAGCTAGAAAGATAGCAGAGCTAGAGTAGATGGTGTTTTGTTTCCTTGGAAGGGGTAAAGAGGTACAGTTATTGATTGATTGATTGATTGAGACAGAGTTTCACTCTGTTGCCCAGGCTGGAATGCAGTGGTGCGGTCTCGGCTCACTTCAACCTCCACCTCCTAGGTTCAAGCTACTCTCCTGCCTCAGCCTCCTAAGTAGCTGGGACTACAGGTGCCTGCCACCACACCTGGCTAATTTTTTGTATTTTTAGTAGAGACAGGGTTTCTCCATGTTGGTCAGGCTGGTCTCAACTCCCAACCTCAGATGATCCACCTGCCTCAGCCTCCCAAAGTGCTGGGATTACAAGCATGAGCCACCTCACCTAGCCTGGAAAATTTCAAACCCAAACCCAAACAGAATAGTATAATAAACTCCCCTATACTCACCCTGCAGCTTTTTTTTTTTTTTTTTAAAGAGACAGGCTCTCGCTCTGTCACCAGGCTGGAGTATAGTGGCATGATCATGGCTCACTGCAGTTTCAGACTCCTGGGCTCAAGCAATCATCCTACCTCAGCTTCCCCAGGACTACAGGCATGAACTACCATGCCTTTTATTTTTTCATAGAGACAGGGTCTTGTTATGTTACACAGGCTGGTCTCAAACTCCTGCCTCGGCCTCCTGAAGTGCTGGGATTATAGGTGTAAGCCACTACCTGCCGGTGTATCTTAAAGCAAATCTTGGACATTGATCAATTAACCTTTAAATACTTCAAGGATTTTAAAAAATGTAACCTTATCATTACCACTTCTATTTTCCCCTGTGGTCTTAAAAATGTCTTTTTATAATTGGATTCTTTAAATTGGGATCTAAACAAGGTTCTCATATTGCATTTGCTTTATATTAGGTTCTCTTGAGTGGGCACAATGATGCACCCAAGCGAAGAACTTCATATAAAGCAAATGCAATGTAATCTCAGCACTTTGGGAGGCCTACCCGGAAGGACCCCGTGAGTCCAGGAGTTTGAAACCAGCCTGGACAACATCGTGAGACCCCCTCACCCGCCACCTCTACAAAAAGAAATTATTTTTAATTAGCCGGGCATGGTGGTACATGCCTGTAGTCCCAGCTACTCAAGAGGCTGAGGTGGAAGGATCACTTGAACCCACGAGGTCAAGGCTACAGTGAGCCATGATCATACCACTGCACTTCAGTGTGGGCGACAGTGTGAAACCCTGTCACACCCACACAAAAGTTTCTCTTTCTTTAAAGTTAATAGACTATTCTTAGAGCAGTTTTAGGTTTACAGAAGAATTGAGCACAAAGCACAGAGTTCCTGTATCCTCCCTGTCTCCGCTCGCAGAATTTCCCTGAACACTAAAGCGTCTTGCATTTGGTGGGGTACTCTTCAGTCTCTTTTAATCTGTAGCAGTGCCCATGCCTTTTTTTTTTCTTTTTTAGTGCCATTTATTTGTGGAAGAAACTGGGTCATTTGTTGGATAGAATGTTCCATATTCTGGCTTTGTCCTTGTGCTGGCATTTTAGCATGCTCCTCCATCTCCTATATTTCTTGTGTATTGGTGGTTAGATTTAGAAACCTGATTAGATTCATGTCCCACATTTTTGGCAAGAAAAATTCCCAGGTGGCTCTGTGAGCTTCTTCTGCATCCCATCAGGCACTTAGTGTCTGGTGCCCCAGTTCTAGTGATATGAAGATTGACGAGTGGCCTGCAGCACCCCCAGCAGCCTCTCTTGACCACATCCTGCGATCACTGTCCTGGTAACGTCCTCTTCCCTTTTTTTTAGCCCACTTTCTTCCCGAGCCTGCCTGGCTGCTATGCTCCCAAGCCCACCTTCTAGGCACCCAGATTGAGGCCCCATGGCAAGCAGCAGGGACAGGAGCAGTAGGTAGGCTGACCCCAGGAAAGAGGTGTGGGTGACCCTTGCCTGTCTCCAGGTTACATCCACTACCAGCCTGCCCAGGACCGGCTGCAACCCCACCTCCTGGAGATGCTGATTCAGCTGCCGGCCAACTCAGTCACCAAGGTTTCCATCCAGTTTGAGCGGGCGCTGCTGAAGTGGACTGAGTATACCCCAGACCCTAACCATGGCTTCTACATCAGGTGGGCCCCACCCCCACAGGCTGCCTCTCATCCTCCTGACCCACCCTCTCCGCTGCTTACCCCTTGGTAGGGGAGCCAGGTGGGAACACATGCCATCTCTCTGCTTCTCTGTAGCCCATCTGTCCTCAGCGCCCTTGTGCCCAGCATGGTAGCAGCCAAGCCAGTGGACTGGGAAGAGAGTCCCCTCTTCAGCAGCCTGTAAGTGTGACCACACTAACTGATAACACATCCTCCGCTGCCTGCTGCGTCTTAACACAGGTGACCAGGCTCCTGCAGGGGAGGTCAGAGTAGATGTTACATCTTCCAAAGAAATGTATAGATTTAATTCAATCCCAATAAAAATCACAGCAGTCTGTGAAGTTTGTAAAGACTTTATAAAATGATTTTAAAGTGCTTCTCCAAGAACACATTTACTCAGAGCCTACATTTACTCCTTGATGTTCTTAAATATTTAATGAAGCACTTATGAAATGCCAAGTGCTTCTGAGAGTACTGAGGGTACAAGAATAAACAAAACAGACTTGGCCCTGCCCTCCCTTTGCTGATAGTCTAGAGGGAAAAGTCTGTTCTAGAGAGCAATGGGGTTAGAAGTGGGATAGGGATTGATTTAGTGGGTTATCTGGGAAGGCTTCTTTGAGGAGGTGGCATTTGGGCTGAGATCAGGCTAAGGAAGAGGTAACCAAACAAAGGCCAGGCCCCTTTCTTCCACTTTAACACCAGGCTTCTCTACTTTTTTGTTTTCATTATACTTTAAGTTCTGGGATACATGTGCAGAACGTGCAGGTTTGTTGCATAGTTATACATGTGCCATGATGGTTTGCTACACCCACCAACCCATCGTCTAGGTTTTAAGCCCCGCATGCATTAGGTGTTTTTGTCCTAATGCCCTCACTCCCCATGCCCCATGGCCCCCCACCTGCCGGCTGCTCTCCTTTTATCAGGTTTATAGATTGAGCTGTGCTGCCTGTTGAAAGGTTTTGAGCCCAAGAGAACATTGGAAACACTTACGGTGCTGCATTGCCCAGGACTGCCAGAGTAAGGACGGGGTGAGGTGGGGAGGAGCAGCCAGTCCTGTCTCACCTCTCCTTCCTTGACCCCAGGTTCCCAGTCTCCGATGGCTCCAACTACTTCGTGCGACTCTACACGGAGCCGCTGCTGGTGAACCTGCCGACACCGGACTTCAGCATGCCCTACAACGTGATCTGCCTCACATGCACTGTGGTGGCTGTGTGCTACGGCTCCTTCTACAATCTCCTCACCCGGACCTTCCACATCGAGGAGCCCCGCACGGGTGGCCTGGCCAAGCGGCTGGCAAACCTTATCCGACGCATCCGAGGTGTCCCCCCACTCTGACTCTTGCCCTTTTCAGCAGCTGCGGCTGCTGTTTCTCTCTGGGGAGGGTTGGCAGTAGGCCCAAGGGCTCTTTCTGCCACTTGCTGTCCTCAGAATTGGCTTTTGAACCAAAGTGCCCTGGACCGGATCAGGGCTACAGCTGTGCTGTCCAGTACAGGATCCACGAGCCAAATGTGGCGTTTGAATTTGAATTAACTTAAATTAGAAATTGATTTCCTCACCTGTGGTGGCCACCTCTATATTGAGGTGCTCAATAACCAAAAGTGGTCAGTGGCTACTGTACTGGACAGCAGAGGAAAAGACTTCCATCACTGCAGAAAGGTTTGTTGGCATTTGTTGGCAGCACTGGCCAAGGTGAGGGGGTGTGCTGCACGGTGTGGTCACTGAGTGGTGGAGGGAGTTTACTGATTGTGGAATAAAAATGACGTTTTCTTGGTTCTTTGCCTTCTGTCCTGGGAAGAGCTGCAGACTGGGGGTGGTTGCCAGGTGCCTGAACAGGACCTCCTACCCTATGCCTGCCCCCACAACACACACACATCCAAAAAAAAAAAAAAAAATCCTAAACAGCCCACTACCTCCTCCCATCTGGTCAGAAATTTCTTCTTCTGATCTGCTCCCCATCCCCATCCGCATCTGATTGTGATTCCCAGAACTCCCTGGGTTGTTTGGGAGGGTTTCTGAAAGCATAATCCACGACCATGGAAATGAATCATCCTACTTCTTGGGGGCCCTGAGAACCAGTCCACATCAGCAAGGGTAGAGTGGAGAGGTGGGAGAACTTTGGGTGCTGGGGCTCTCACTGCAGTGTGCATCAGTCACTGGGGGCACTTGTGAAAATAACGTAGGTTCCTGGGGTCCAGATCCTGCTAATTCAGTTGGTCTGGGCATGGCCCAGCCTTTGACTTTTTAGCAGGCTCCCCAGGAGCTCATGCTGTGTGCCGTCCTCAGACCACCCTCGGGCTTTGAAGCCAGGCTCTTTGGATTGAAGCCCACTCTGCCCACCTCCCCTGCTGGTTACATAACACTGGATTCCTGCAAAACAAGCCTTTAGGCGGGTGCCTCCCACTGCCCTCATCTTCTGTCTTTTCCTCTGGCACACTTGGCATCAACTGTGTGAGTTATTTGCAGTTCCCCCACCTCCCACCCCAGTCAGTTCTCCCATCATAGTGGGTTGGCCTAGAATGCCCTATTCCACCAACCATGCACACCTCTCATCTGCCTGGTTCCCTCTTACAAAACCAGATGAGAAGTTGCTCCCTCCTGGAAGTTTCCCTTGATGTGCCAGGCTGCTGCCTGTGCCCCCTGCCCGCTGCTTCCAGACTGCCTTGGACTTAACACGTGTTCTTTATTACCTGGCCGCTGTCCTTTCACTTCCACCAAATGGCGTGCTTCCTGGAGGCACAGGTTCAGTCGTTCATTAAGACCTAACCCAACTCAGGACATGTAAGTGCTCAATCAGCAAATGCTAAATGTATTAATTGGGTGTGGACTATTCTGGCTTGGGATCTGGGATCCAAGATAGGGATGGGCAAGGGGCACTCCAGCAGCTCCACATGCGTGGGTGCAGCAGTCTTAACACAGTGGCACTGGTGTCTGTAGCCAATACGGATGGGCTGTTTAGGTTCCTTGAAGAGTTTTCAGAGCCCTTAACACGTGGGTGGTATGTGTGCGTATGTAGGCAGGTAGTGAGCTAGTCTACGCCATGGGTTAAGACACTTTGTTCAGGGTGCTTTTACTTGAGTTTACTTCCAAAGCGGTAAAGCAGCAGACTGTAAATGAGACAGGAACGCAGATGGGTGGATACACGAAGCTAAGCGGTCTGTGTAGTGTGCCTAGTGTGGGATGCAGCATGCATAGCATGGGGTGTCTGCCAAGTCAGAAGAGCACAGAGTGGCCTTGCTGTTTTATCCCCGCAGCCCTGTCCATACCTAGAAACGGCCCCCACTATCACACCACATGTAACCTATGCCCTGGCAACAGCCACATATTTCTAGATGAGACCTCCTCCCTGGATCTTAGATTCATTTACCCAGCTGCCTACTTGCTTTCCCCATTTGGATGTCTAAAGACATCTCAAATTGAGTGTCTCCAAAACCAAGCTTCTAATGTACTCCACCCCACCCCAAACATCCTCATCCATAGTCGCTTCATCTCTGTTAAATGTAGCTCATATCTTTCCAGGTCCCCAGGAAAAATACCTGTGAGTCATCCTCTATGCACCCTACCTTCAAAGTAAATCCAGAATCCCACCCCTCTTCACCATCTCCACTGTCAAGTTATCGGTGAGGTTTTCCCTGGCCGTACCCTATTTCAAATTGCTATCCTAGATGTTAGATTCACCTGGGAAACTTAAAAATCCTGATGCCCAGGCTTTACCCAAACCAGTTAAATCAGAATTACTGAAGGTGGGACTCACAAAGTCCCCAAGTGACACCAGTCTATAGCCAAGCTTAAGAACTTGGTCTTATTTTTAAAGTAGTATGAAAACTTACTTTCTCAGGCTGGGTGCGATAATCTCAGCCCTTTGGGAGGCCGAAGTAGGTGGATCATTTGAGGTCAAGAGTTTGAGACCAGCCTGGCCAACATGGTAAAACCCTGCCTCTCATAAAAATATAAAAATTAGCTGGGCGTGGTGGATGCCTATTGTCCCAGCTACTTGGGAGGCTGAGGCAGGAGAATTGTTTGAACCCAGGAAGTGGAGCTTACGGTGAGTGGAGATCATGCCACTGCACTCCAGCCTGGGTGACAGAGTGAGACTCTGTCTCTAAATAATAATAATAAAAAAATAATAATTTGGTAAAGAATTAAATCAAATAGACATCTGAGAGGTCTGGCCCCAGGTCTTCCCCCAGACTGAATGGTGACTGCAGGTGAACACTTTCAGTATCTGGGCCTTGGATTCCCCCTGAGGTGAAAGTGACTGGGTAGCCTGTTGGAGCCAGCCCTGTCCCATAGGCTACAGGTCTCAGGGTCCTCTTTCTCAACAACACCTCAGCTAACCAGGCAGATGGCAAGACAGAGGGCAAGGAAGCTGCTGAACTTCATGGAGCCAAGAGCTAAGAGTTCTGAACCAGGGCTGGGAGGCTGGAACTAATACCTGCAGGAGGAGAAGAGTCCCTGTGTCCATGGGCCAAAGGAAATATCTTGTTTTTGATTTCTTGGAAGAGGAAGCACTCTGGGCAAGAGGTATGAGCGAGGATGAACTGAACTCCTTGTCTAAAAGCGGCACTACACACCATGGAGGTGCTTGTGGGAGCTGCAGAGAATGTCCCCGAAGTCAGTATTTCTGCCTCATCTGAAATGCCGGTCTTCAGCTTCATCTGCTGCACACTTGAGTCCATGAGATTTTAGAGTGGTAAGTGACCTTTGGGGTCTCAGTTTTCCTATCTGTAAAGGAGTGGGTTGGACAATGAACAGCTGTTCTCCATTCTTTTGTTATTGGTTCCCATCCAGAGCCTCCCAGCTAGTTGTCTCAACATCCCAGGGGAAAAAGCATAGCTCTTTGTCCATTGGTTTATTTATTCAATTTAGGAATAATGAGTTTATTGTTTTATATGAATAACCATACTTATTTTAAAAGATCAAACTACACTAAATAGTACAAACAAGCGAAATCTCTCCCCCAAGTCTGCTATGGTGCTGTGCAACAGAAATATAATGCAAGCCACACATTGAATTTTAAATTTCCTATGAGCTTTTTTAAAAAGTAAAAAGAGGGGCCTGGCATGGTGGCTTAGGCCTGTAATACCAGGATTTTGGAAGACTGAGGTGTTTGAGACCAGCTGGGCAATGTGATGAAACCCTGTCTCTACTAAAAACAAAAAATTATCTGGGTGTGCTGGTGTGTGCCTGTAGTCCCAGCTACTTGGGAGGCTGAGGCAGGAGGATCACTTGAGCTCAGGAAGTTGAGGCTGATAGTGGGCCAAGATTGTACCACTTCACTCTGGCCTGGGTGACGGGGAAGGAGACCCTGTCTCAAAAAAAAAAAAAAAAAAGTAAAATTAATTTAATGATAGTTTATTTAACTGAATACAATATATCTAAAATGTCATTTCAATATACCATTAATATGAAATAAAAACTAATGCAATATTTTACTTTTATTTGTATTAAGTCTTTGAAATCTGGTGTGTACATTAACATTTATAGCATTTAACAATATGAGCCATACCTCATATGCTCAATAGTTGCATATAGTCAGTGGCTACCATATTGGATATTGAAGCTCTATCATATAAAACAACTATCAGTAACTTCAGGATAACCTCATAAGAATTTCGTTAGATAGATTGACAAAAATAGTTCTACAAAAATGAGGAGTTTATGGATATTGTTTTCCCCGAATTTTTGCATATTTTCTTTATACTTAAAGGACAATTTGAGGGGCTACAAAATCCTGGGTCCTATTTTCTTTTCTCTAGTGCAATTGTGAACTTAGCTTCACTGCATTCTGCCCGTGAGTGTTGTTATGAAACAGCCTGAATGTTTTTCTCCCTTAAAGGTGACTTTTTTCCCTACATGAACATCTAAAAATAGTTTTGCTTATCCTCAAGTTTCAGTATCCTCAAAACTTAACAATATTTTGGTGATATTCTGCATCTTTTTTTTTTTACTGGAAAAGGAGTGCTTTTCTAGGCTGCATATTTTTTAAAAGGGAAATTTTCTTGTATTATATCTTTGCATAAGTTTTCTGTTTTAATTATTGAGTTTTCTATTTAAGAGACATCAATTATGTCAGATTATCTTTACTTGTAAGTAGTTGTTAAAACCATGGGCACTAGAGACAGATAATTTGAATTCCACCTTTGTCATCCAATATCAGCATGACAAGGTATTTAATATCTGTGTACTACAGTTTCTATTTGGAGATAATAGACTCCAAACTACCTGCATTTGGAGTCCCCAACACCACACCCAGATTTAATTCCCTAAAAGGACTCATAGGACATAAGTTTATACTTGTTATCCTTAAGTTTACAACAAAAGGATACAGAATAAAATTAACAAAGGGAAAATGTGCATAGGATGAAGTCTGGAGGAAGCCAGGCACAAACTTGCAAGTGTCTCCTCCCTGGGGAGTAGCACAGGATGTGCTTAATTCCTCCAGCAATGATGCATGACAACACATGCAAAGTGTTGTCAACCAGGGAAGCTTGACCAGGCCTGGGCATCTCAGTATTTTACAGAGGATCATTCACAGGCATATACCACCTGCATGACCTACCTCAGTTAACAAAGCTCCAGACCTCCAGAGAAAAAGGGGCATTCACCATAAATCATTGCTGGTGTACACTATGTGTGAACTAACTGGTACAGTGCAGCCCAAGGTCTCAGGCAAGCAAAAAACACTTTCACTTTCATCATCCAGAATAATCAATGAGCTCAGTTCCCAGGAGCGGGCCAAAGGCCAGTCCTGAAAACAGACCTTCCTTGGGAAT